GTGATAGTTTTCTTGTACCGAGAGCTACTTCCTTCCTTGGTCATGTAGTGATAGTTTTCTTGTAGCGAGAGCTACTTCTTTTCTTTCATTTTTTCATCTAGTGGGTAAGCCAGAGATGCAACTGTAATTTGAATTTTCTTGATCTTGTTTGATTTAATACCACTTGTTTACTTCTTATGGCTTTGACTGAGGATCACTAAGAATAAACCAATCAGTATTGTTTGACAAGTAAATAATGAAATGATTGCATCACAATAATATGAAATATCTCTATACTGATTTTGTGTAATATAAAAAAACCATTAGTAACCACAAGTTTGTACTGATCTTCAAGATCTACTTACTACCAGGTAGTTGTTGTCAAATAGATTTGGCTTGTTCTAATATGTAACTATTTTATAACTAAGTTATCCAAAGTATTTATTATCGTAGACAGAGCAGTTTGAAGGATGTCAGTATTTATTTCACTATCCTATGTATTAGTGCTTGTTTTTCTAACTAAACTTTTTTCAACTGAAATTTTTCTTGCAAATATTAAGTTTTTTTAATCTATGTAACCTTTCCAAAATAGGTAAACTGTAAATCAAGGCATGTGATGTTCTTTCTCCTTATTACCTAGGCAAGCTTTTAAGTGAAGCTTGTGGTAAACTGTGAATTCAAACAAGTGGAGTCTTTTAACTTTCAAACTAAAGGCAGTTCGATGTCAAACAGATAATTGTACTCGGTGTTTTTTGATGAGTTTAATGAAATTGATTAGAACGCAACTTTTGAATTTTAAAATAAAATCACATAACTGGAGATTTTCTTAATACCCTCAAAACATATTAACTTAGGATCCTTCTCACTAGTTTGTTGTTTTACTAACTGGAGATTTTCTTAATACCCTCAAAACATATTAACTTAGGATCCTTCTCACTAGTTTGTTGTTTTACTAACTGGAGATTTTCTTAATACCCTCAAAACATATTAACTTAGGATCCTTCTCACTAGTTTGGTTGTTTTACTGTTGGTAGGGGATTAATACCATCAAAACATATTAACTTA